GGTTTTTTACCGTAAATTTTACAGAATTTTTTTTTACAGTGTAGGGAATTGTGTGCTGTGTTTTGCAAAAAGTGTCAAAGGCTGAGAATTAGTGTATGGTTTTGCAGATTTGGTGTGTGGTTCTGGTGTCAGCTTTCAGAAACTGTGTGACAAGTCAAGATTTTGTTTGTAAGCAGTTGAAAAAAAACTGTAATTCTGAGTATGAAGTAAACCCAAGTCAAGCCCAAGTCAAATTTTACCCTCCCCCACAACACTCAAAACTCATTTGCACTCAAATGTTCAAAACTTGTCACCTGAAGGTGCTTTGAGCTTGGTTTTACAGCAGGTGATGTTAAATTTGAATTTAATAAAATTCAACAAACATACACACAGCTTGTGTTCACAAGGAGGGTAAGCCACAAACATTCATTGCCAAAGAAGCTGGCTGTTCACAGAGTGCTGTAATCCAAGCATGTTAACAGAAAGTTGAGTGGAAGGTCAAAAGTGTGGAAGAAAAAGATGCACAACCAACCGAGAGAACCGCAGCCTTATGAGGATTGTCAAGCAAATCGATTCAAGAATTTGAGTGAACTTCACCTGTCTGATCAGCAGTCTTCCCCATGATTGTGTAGCTTAGTGAACCAAACTGAGAGACCATTTTGAAGGCTCAGGAAACCTTTGCAGGTGTTTTGAGTTGATTAGCTGATTGGCATGTCACCATATTCTAATTTGTTGAGATAGTGAATTGGTGGGTTTTTGTTAAATGTGAGCCAAAATCATCACAATTAAAAGAACCAAAGACTTAAACTACTTCAGTCTGTGTGCATTGAATTTATTTAATACACGAGTTTCACAATTTGAGTTGAATTACTGAAATAAATAAACTTTTCCACGACACTCTAATTTATTGAGATGCACCTGTATAGCTTGGTATAATAAAAGTAAAAAACATTTTATTAATATATAATATATATAATTTTTATGTACAAAAACGTTTTAATATATTTTCATTATTAAAATATTTCAGTATTCTAATTTAAACATTTTAAAATCATGTTTAATTTTTTTTAATTATATATTTTAAGTGTTACCAAAAATGTGGGGGGGGGGAAACATATTACAAATTAAACAAAAATGGACCACAAGACATTCTACACAAGGATAGGACCATAGGAACTTTCCCAAGACATACACGGAAATGTATTGCTGTGAGAGATTTAGTAAATCAGAATGTATGGCCCTGGGCTTTCTGCTTTTCTGCCTTCAAGACGGTAGGAGCGGACGGGCAGGAGGTGATCGCATGTTCATGGGCTGTGTGAATGCAGCGTGGAGGATGGGATTGGGCATGGCAAGGACCCTTGCATAACGTCCACTGTCAACACCTCACAGAGCCTTTCCATGCCACCCCACAAGAGCGGCTCACTCTTTAAGCATTTGAGACGCATTGTGCCAAGCATTGTGAACCAGATCAGAGGACTCGTGCTGTTTTCCTTCTGCTGAAAACAGAAAACCACACGTTGGATTTTGCACTTTTAAATTAAGTTAAAATAAAAGCTTGTTAATGGAACAGAAAATTAAGAAATAATTTAAATTCAGTTGATATATACTCACCCTCATGTTGTTCCATATGCACAACAACAAAATTACAATTGTATCATTATCATTTATAATCATAATTTAATTAACGTAATAATGAACTAAAACAACCATAAAAGTATTAGTTAAAAAAAATTATAATGAAAATTACATTTTAACTTGTGTTCCACAGAAACAGCATTGAGAAAATAATTCTCATTTATGGGTGAACTATTTCTTTAAAGTAGATCAAGCTTTGGGTCTCTGTCTAAACAAATATGAACACAGCCGTATCTCTTCCACGGCATCAAAGCTTTTTTCTTTGTGCCCGGCTGTACTGGGACAGGGGTTGGTGGAGGTCCATGACCACAGCCCCTCGACATCTCTCATCGTTTGGACCCGATCGCCACTTCGTTGACATTCCTCCCTCTCCCGGCAGAATGCGTTCCCATTTTCCGAACTCAGTGCCAGCGGCGCGGACCCCCCACCCTGAGGCTGGCATGGGGCCCGCATTAAGTGCAGAACAGGCAGGATGGCGCCACTGGCGCTTAAAGAAACATTTAATGTTTCACAAGGCTGTAGGAGTCAGGATTACACTCTGCAGTACTTTAAAGCCTGCAGTGCGGGAAACAATCAGCACGCTGCTTTTTTGCCTCGGTACACAAGGGCACGGTTGGGGAACGGATCCAGATCTGAAGGGCTACACCTGCACCTGGCATGGGCATGAAATGACCAATAAAAGCCGTTCCCAGTGCCGCCTGACATATGATCTAATTGAATGCGGCCCATTGCGTTTACATTTTCAAAACCACTTCAGAAATGGTAATAAAAGCTTGTTTGGGAAGGAAGGGGCCTTTGAAAGTCTGGATTGGGTTGGAGTGCCCCTTTGAGACAACTGGTTTGGCATTCAATGAGAAATGACAGGAGCGCTACAGAATCTTTGGTTAATCTTCAAAACACAAATTTAAATCTGTTCATCATATGAGGCAATCGTATCTCTTCACAAGACTTTGATTAAACCACTCATTTCATATGGTTCAGTTTTATAATGCCTGAGGTGTTCAATCCTGCTCCTGAAGGGACACTGTCCTGCAGAGTTTAGCTCCAACCCTAATAAAACACACATAAACCAAAGTAATCAAGGTCTTCAGACTCACTAGAACTTCCAAGCAAGTGTGTTGGAGATGGTTGGAGCAAAAATCTGCAGGATACTGGCCCTCCAGGAGCAGGGTTTTGACCTTTTTGGATCTTCTAAGTTTTGGTTACTTGGACTTTTAAAGGAGGGAGAAAAATGTCTTAATTTGTGTTTTGAAGATTAACCAACATCTTATGTGCTTGGAAAAATATGAGAAATTATTAGACTTTTCATTTTTGGTGAACTATTCCATTAGTCAGACCAGGCACTGGAGAACAGATCCAAATCTGGTCTGGGCATGAAATGACCAATACAAAAACACATTAATTAATTTTGGTCTCATTACCACTAAAATATCTTCAGTCTGACGGCCCTGATGACTTTACAATCATTGGACAGACCCGCGGTAAGTTACTGCATCATCAGAGAGAATCGCAGTAAGTTAGCAGAATACA